TAAGGCCTACAAAAGTGAACCATTCCTTCCTGTGAAAAAAAAATAGGTCTGACTTGCTCAAAATCCACACTGCGGTCTCTGCCTTGCAAGAGAGCATGCATCCCACTTCAACATCTGTCTCCATCCACCTTCCCATACAATAAAGTAGTAACTAGGGTTAAGTTCCAATAAAAGATAGTCAGGCAAATGTTGAATCTGCTAATAGATGAAACCGGCTATACTCCAAGGGAGCTACAAGATCTAGCCAACATGTACCACCAGGAGCTCTGACACTGTGGGACTGGGTTCTGAGAGTGCTAGCTCTGTAGCGGCGGAGCATAGCACTGGATTAGGGAGATTTCATAGGTATGGGAACACTCTCCTCCAATATGCTATTTAATAGCCTGTCGAGGACTCCAAGGAATAGTGTTAATATGCTGTTAGGATGGCTTTTAGAAACAAGAAGCTGATGGTCCACACTAAGTCAATGTGAAATGTGTGAAGAAAGACAGCAGAAGAGACCAAAGTGTTTAGAGAAATGGGCATGGAAGAATGAGTACACTTCGTAAGGCCAGAAAACCCACCCAAATGATAGCCAGGAGAACACTCTATTTACCTCATGAGAGGGGTACCGGTACCTCCCAGAAGTTTAGTGGTGGCTGTCTGAAGGTCAGGACAGCCAATAAAGATGATCTTACAGAATTGGACTCCCTACTAGCAGCAATAGGATCCCAAAATAACAGAGATCAGGGGATGGTGCTTGACCATCAGAAGCGAGGTGTGCACAATTATCAGAACGTGCAGCAAGGTCAGAGGAGCAGCCAGGGGTCTAACTTGAAAAGGACTATGCAGATAGTTATTAGAAGAAACATTTCCTAGTGGCAGATACCAAGGCTATTGCTCCATCTGAACAACCAAAATAAGTCAAATATGGATGATCAGGAGATTGAGGACCACCCCAATAAAAAGTCATGATTCCCTGCCCAGTTTCTGGATGTGAGCCATTTTTCAAACCCAGAACCCAGTCAATGAATTTTATGTATATATACATATATTCTTACAGTATATATAAAATACACACATATGATGCATATGTGTATGTGTATATATATACCTATATACACACACACACACACACACACACATATGATCTTCATCAGTTCAGGCTAGTATAAAAATATAGATAGCTTAAACAACAGATACATATTTCTCCCAGTTCTGGAGCTTGGTAAGTCCAAGCTCAGGTTCCGCAGACTCGGTGGTTCGTGAGGGCCCATTTCCTGTCTTGCCGATGGCCACTGTCTCTCTAAGTGCTCACATGACCTTTCCTCACAGTGTAGAGGTGGAGAAAGAAATCTCTCCCTCTTCTTTTCTCCTCCTCTTCCTAATCCCAGCAGAATTGGGATGGGGGTGCATGTGAATGTATAGATATATTCTCACCCTGGGGCACTTCTCCTTCCATACAAAGTTAATGACCAGATGGTTACCAAGTACACAGCTTGCAACTACACCTATGGGGAAAGGTTTCTCTCTAAACTGTCTTTTAAGATCACCCCTCAGTAATATAGTGATGGGTGTAATGTAGCCTCCATCCTTTCTCAGCTTTCATCCAGATTGCACCTGACTTACCTGTAAACCGGCCCTTTTCCATCCCCTGTAGCTGGTTGTACAGGCTTCCCCACATGATCACTGGCACGAGTTAATGGCGAGCTGGGGCAGCTGGCACGCAGGTGTCTGGCACTTGCTCTTGCCCTCTGGTGCTGCTCACGCTCAATTTTGCTTTGTGCTTATGCTCCACAGATGAGGGAAATCATTTGGCACTTGTCTTTCTCTGCCTGGCTTATTTCACTGGGCATAATACCCTCTAGCTCCAGCCATGTTGTTGCAAATGGTAGGATTTGTTTTTTTCTTAGATGGTGTCTTTTGCTGTAAAGTAACTTTTTAGTTTGATGTAGACCCATGAGTTCATTTCTGCTTTTGTTTCCCTTGCTCGAGGAGATGGGTTCAGGAAGAAGTTGCTCATGCTTATATTCAGGAGATGTTTGCCTATGTTGTCTTCTTAGAGTTTTATGGTTTCATGACTTACATTCAGGTCTTTAATCCATTTTGAGTTTACTTTTGTGTATGGGGTTAGACAATAATCCAGTTTCATTCTCTGGCATGTAGCTGTCCAGTTTTGCCAACACCAGCTGTTGAAGAGGCTGTCATTTACCCGTTGTATGTCCATGGCTCCTTTATCATATATTAATTGACCATATGTGGTTGGGTTTATATCCTGAAATGATAGCTTTTAATAGTGAGAGGTGGACCACCTCTATAGGCTTTGAGGACCTAGGGAAGTCTACGAAGCTTCAGTCCTTGAAGGCACTGACTCACATGTCCCCAGTCTGTGTTTCAGAATGCCAGTTTCTCCCAAACAGGCTCTCACTTTAGCCTAAGAGACATGACTTGCCTGGACATTTAATCAACTGGATATTTGCAAGTGTAACTCCTAAGTTCTACATTTGCTCCTCATCTATGTCTGCTTTCCCACTGTATGAGACAAGGTTCTTTATAAGCTTCCAAAGAGTTCTTCTGACTCTCATCCTTGCCTTTTATGGTATTACAACTGTGGTCAACAATTCTCAATTTCTCCTTACTTGTCTGTAGGGCATCAATACAATTTAGTAATAACCGGCCAATTCACTCTGTGTACAATGTTTCCCCCATAGCTTTCAATTGCGTCAATCAGCCACAGGCTTCCCTCCGTTGAACTGTTTTCCTAGGTAACTATCAGTGAAATCTTCGGGCATTGGGCTGTCACAGTGTGCCAGATGCTATCTGTGCCTCATACACCACTCAGGATGGGTTGCTCCTTGCCATCCAGGCGGTGATCTTGTCTCAGAAACCCATCTTACTGTGTGTTTTCTTGTATTACTGATGGTATCACCTGCATCAGTTTAGGTTGTCTGGGAAGAGATGCCAAGATGGGATTAGAAGAGCAAGAGATTTATTAGGGGAAACGTTTATGAAAGATCAAGGAAGGAGGAGCCGGAGAAGGCTGCAAACCCTTTATATGGGAGTGAGGTGTGACACCTGCAAGGAAGAATAGGGGGAAGGCTCTCGGATGGCAGAACAGGCTTGACGAAGGCTCAGCCGAGCTTGTGGGAGCCCTGCTGCAAAGATTGCTTATGGGTGAGTCTCTCCGCATTTGGCAGAAGTGTCCATACTCTAATGCCCCTGCTGTGCTCAGTCCTGGGCTAGGAGCAGCCCAGGGACGGTGTGACCTCAAATGAAGCATACTTATTTTAAAATGTGTCTGTTGTTTATATGAAATTAAATTTAACTAGATGTCCTGGATTTCTATTTACTAAACTTCTTTACCACAATGGCAGAGTTGAAGTTATATGTGGGCACAACAGTGTGTTCACCTCTTCACTCAGGTCAATTTAGCTATTGACTTGCCCACAACAGAGACCTATGGTGAGTCCTCAGTATATCACCATTCTTGAAGGAAACCAGTAAGTAGCTTGTGGGCAAGTTGACTACATTGAGCCTCTTCAAAACTGCATGGGGCAATGATTCACTGTGATGACTGCAGTTAACACAAATTCTGAATATGGGTTTGCCTTGCTTTCCTGGAAGGCAGCAGCCAGCATCACTATTCAACAGCATACAGTATTTGATCTATTAAGACAAGATTTTATATAACCCTGGATTGGACTCAGAGATCCAGTCTCTGGCCAAAGGAGTACAACCCTGGGCCCATGGCCTGGGATTCTACTGAAGAGGGTGCTGGCCAGTTAGGATGACCAAAAGGTGTGTTGAAGGCACAGCTGAAGTGACAGCTTGGAGACGATACCTGAGACAATGGGGTGCCATCCACCAGGAAGCATTATGCATCCGTAATCAATAACCATTGTATGGGAGAGTGTACAGGTCTGGGACCTAAGGAGTTGGAGTAGGAGTTGTCTTTTTTATCATCACTCCTAGTGACTCCCTTGGGGAATTTGCTCTTTCCATCCTCATACTTCTGGGTTCTGCAGGTTTAAAGTTATTGCCTCCTAGATATTAAGTGCATTACCACGGGGCGACACTAAAGTCTCATTAAATTTTAGTCTATGACCACTGCCTGGTTGCTTTTGGTACCAACGAAACGAAAACAAGTGACCGTCCCGTGCCAGGGGAAATTGACCCTAATCATTGGGAGGAGAAAGGGCCACTGCTATACTATGGCAGCAGACAAGAATAGATTTGGGGTTTAGGTGGCCCTCTTAGGTACCCCTTGTGAATGACAAACAAGTCCTCTAGCCATGGTGTGAGGAGGTCATGGGGTCCAGAGTCTCTGGCCCTTCAAGGGTGAAGCTTTTAGTCACTCCACTGTAAGCTCCCTGAAAAGCAGAGATGCTACCTGAGAGGGGAAATTATAATGGGTGGTGCACGGAGATGATGCATCTCCGTCAAGGCCCTTCACTGATCTTGTACGTTTTCCTCAGGAAAAGGAGCTCAACAGAGCCATGGGACAATATGTCCAGCATCTTTTTATAGGAAGCAAATGAGCCTGGGCAAGGTCAGGGGTGAACTATAGACAGTGCTGTTGTGGGCTGCCAGGACTTGCCCAAAGCCCTCCCACTTTTTCACAGAAGGTCCCATTTCTCCAGTTGCTGAGCTTGTTGGAGGCTGACAGACTTCAACTGAGTGTTTCTCCCCATACACCCAGGTACATGTCCCTTCCAAGTTCATGCTCACACCCAATGACGGGTCAGTCAAGGGTACAAGGGCCAGCCCCTCCTTGCCCTGATTTGTGGCAATTCAGAAGGCACATTGTAGCTCCAGATCACGCCACGTGCTCAGCTGAAGCCGTTACTGTGGCTGCACTGCAGGCCCTTCTCTTCTTTCTGAGCCTCTTCCCTTCACTCCCCCAACAGGTGAGGACCCTACGGCACCCCCTCTGCAGCTGATTTAAGATTTAAAAACTGAGGTGAGAACAAACTTGAATACCTGAGAAAATAGCCACACCATCCATCTTTTGCTGATACATTTATTGATGTGTTTCCCCTTTTCTGGGGATGGTGACACAAGCAGATGGATCCCCCCACCCCCCCTGTAATACAGACACAGATTTCATTCAGCATGTACAAGCATTGGGGCGTGTCCAAATTCTACCTCACTGGGCTACCAGAGCCAGGAAAGGACTGATCTTGGGGGCAATCTGTGCACCTGAGGCCCAGGAACTGAGCAGGTCATGCTGAAGGGAGACTGCCTCTCTGGGCCGTGCCCCTGGGGTGCTGGCAGAGGCTATGGAATTGAGTCGTGGTGGACAGTGCTGCCTAGCCCTGACATATGGTCTAGAAGGTGACAGTGGGTTCCTGGGTAGTTTCCAGTAAGATCCACAGTCCCACAGAAATCTGTGCCTCAGGGTTCTCATCTGCAAAATGGGGATAAGAATCCTGCCCTGAATATATCACAGGGTTATTATGAGGCTCAAAATAGAAACAATTTGTCAAAAGTGCCTTGCAAAAGGTAAAGTGCTATAAAATTTAAGGGAATTCAATTGATTGATTGTGATTGTCAGAGTGCCCCAGGGGTAAAAGTGGACTGGCTTATGGGTCCAGGGGTGAAGGAAGTGGCGGCACTCCTGTGCTGCGGCTTAGGTGGGGACGCCCAGTGCACGGCACAGCTCCCTTAGCCTCTTGGCCCCGAGAAGTCACCATGGCCTAGCACCTGGGTTGGGGCTGGGAAAGTCACTGGGGAAGTTACAGAAAGAGTCACAGGGGTCAAGAAGGAGGAAGAAGGTAGCATATAAAGCAGGGGGGTGTTACTGTTGTCACACACAGAAATAGATACCCACCGGATGCAAGGCATTGAATCAGTAGTGCAGATGAGGGATGGCAGCTGGGGCGGCGTGGAGGGGGAGAGGGAGGTGTCACAGCAGCAGAGGGAGGGATACCATCCAAAAGAGGCCCAACTGCTGCCTCCTATCCTCCTAAAGGCATAGTGCTGGGGTCTATCTGCAGGGGAAGGGAGGGCAGGGAGATAGAACCAAGAATACAATAATCTGACCTAAGGACAGAGGACCCCTTTCACTGTCACGCTGCTGCCCAGCACCCTCAGGAGGTGTCAAGAAGAGGCAAGCAGCTTGTCTGTGCACACTCAGGCTGAGGCCAGAGCCGGGCCTGGAGTATCAAAGACGTATACTGGCTTTCCAGAGACTGACAGTGGGTGTCGGGGTGCCGGCACTGTTTGGAGATTGCTGATCTTCTCAAACCTGGGCACAGTGTGAGGAAGCTGGTCACGGAGCGCCTATGATCTATAAGCCTGAGAACCACCAATGGTCCTTGTCAAAGAGGTGAGCCATTCAGTTGCAATGGGCTGCCAAAAAGATTGAGTGAGTGGGCGGGGTGGGTTGGGGGAGGGCCACGAGGACCAGTTCTCTGCACACTTGCATCTGGGGCCTGGGGAAGGAGACCCTCTCTAGGAAATGGGGAAGGAAAGCTGTTCCTGCTGCTGCTTTCCTCTGACTCCCTTGGCAAGGGGTGGGGGACCTCCTGGGGAACGGGGGAGGTTGCCCCACAGGGTAGCAGCTGGCACCTACAAGTTAAGGCAAACAAGCCAGTAGAGCACACTGAAGAAGAAGAAGGTGACTGGGAAACCAACTCGCGAGTAGCTGTCCAGGCGGTAGACATGGATGAAGAGGCGGCCCCGCTGCCAGCTGCGGCTCTCTCTACTGGGTACCGCGCAGCAGTACTTCCCACACCACTTGCAGCAGCCGCCAGGGCGTTGGTGGCCACCTAGGCCAAGGGACTGCTGGGCTGGGCAGGAGGGGCCTTCCTCTTCATCGCTCTCCTCCGAGTCCTCGATCTGGCACACAAAAGCTTCCTGACGCCGGAGGGCACGGCGGGCGGCGAGGGCCCGGGCCTGGACACAAGGCTGAAATGGACAAGGGAACAGTCAAGGGACGATCAGCCAGGCCCTGGCCACGGGTTCTTGCCCCCAGAACTCCCACCATCACATCAGAAGGTTTTCTCAAGGGCCTCCTAAGTCCCAGGGTACCCCTTCAATGTGGCAAGCTGGCCACCCGCATGCCAGGAGTCCTAGTGCCCTCACTCACACGCCTCCACAGCGCCACTCCCATACCCAGGTCATACATGGCGAAGCTTCGGAGGAGCACGGGGTTTCGTCTGGTGGTAGGTGAGGAAGTTGAGCACAGCGAACTCCAGCAGAGCACAGAAGCAGAAGACAAAGCAGATGGCAATGTAGAAATCCAGGGCGGTGATGTACGAGACGCGTGGGAAATTCTTCCGTGAGAAGGTGCCCAGCGTGGTCATGGTGAGCACGGATGTGATCCCTGTGGAAGCAGAGCAGTGGAGGCGGCCTCAGCATCCCGTCCACCCAGCACACAACTGACAGGGCCCTGAGAAGGCCATCCTGTGCCCGCGTACCCACCCGCTTGCCCACTGACCTAGAGAGGCCCTGGCGGGAGCAGACTCTTTCTTGAGCCAGAAGGAAATCCAGGACAGCATTGTGGTCACAGAGGAAGGGACATAGTTTTGAAAGGCAACAAAGCCAAACTTCCTGCTCACATTGAAGAAAAGAGTCATGACTATGAAATCACCTGGAAGACAGAAAAACATACCCCTTCATCACTGCACTGACACCGGGGTCGGCCCCCACCACAACGTGCATATTAAGGTCCCATTGTTCAGATTATGAGATCCCCACCACAGCACCAGGCCGGAGGCACATTTTTCTAATGCCACACACACAGAATCAGAAAAGCCCAGAGAGGAAACCCACTGCAAGACCTATGCCAGGCCCAGAACCTTAGTCACTTCTTTCTTATTCCACTGCCCCACACCTTGCACCTGTCCTTCCAGGGAGGCAGAAGACACTGATGAAGGTGAAAAAACCACTCAGCCGTCTAGATATCAGGGCCACACAGCTAATGTCCAGATGGCTGACTGAGGCCTTCATGTCCATTGACATGCCATATCTAGTCGACAGAACCATAGCCGCACATGTGGACTGCTGGCCCTTGCAACGTATACCCTCAGGCAATGAGCTAACCTTGGCCTATGCTGTGGTGGGGGCAGCACAGAATCCATTCGGCCTCCTTCTTGTAAGTTCATATGCTGCTGAAATGCCTTATCATTGTTCCACGGCCAATTAAGGCAAAACAAATCACATGCCTACCCCAAGACCTCTAGTGGTTCCCTGCTCCACCAGAGCTACAGTATCAAGTCAACAGTGTGATCTGACGCTAAAGGCCCACCACGACCTGGCTCCAAGTGACATCTGAACACACACGTCTTACCATAAGCAAATCCCGTCTATTCTCAGATTCCCTCAGATAACACCCATATCCACCCCAATATCCAAACCCTGGACTCCTTGTTCTCAGCCTATTACCCCAACCTAAGTGGAGTATTTCAGGAAAATAGAAGAATTATCCAGCCCTCTACATGCCAGCTCTGCAGAGTATACATCCACAAGGCGGACTGAGGTCATCCCATTCATTTGGGCATTGTGTTGTTGACGTTGGCTTCCACCCTACAGAGCAATGGCTCCTACAGGGCCTGCAGGCACCCCACATCTCCAGTTGGTATCTTCACTGAACACTTCATGCTGGCTTACACTCTGACTCACTCGTCCGAAACACTCTGCATGCTGATCGTGACTCTAGGGCTCTGGGGGCCTTTTCTGAGCTCAGAATATTCCCTTTTACTCTCCACATGACATCAGATTTTTAATAGCTCAAGTGCTGGCTCCTTAGTGAAGCTAGGCTCCAAATTTCCACCTCTGTGATGTAGTAGAATTCCTTGGCCTTGAACTAGGTAGGCTTTTAAGCTGCTTCTGGGCAGAACTTGTATGAGCCCTGTGGCTTGGCTCCTGCCCATCCCAGCCCAGCACGGCCTGGAACCAAAAGGAAATCCAGTGATTCTTGTTGCTGTCTGGCAACAGCTTTGTAAAGCAGACTAGAACCCTAACCTGTCCGTGTGTCCTCCTATTTGGGAGAGTAGGTCACTTGCCCACCAGGTCTGGGAATGCTGGAGCCGGATGACAAGAGCACCCTCTCCTACTTACCTGGGCACCACTGACACTCAAGGGGCAAGACTTCTCAGAATCTTCTAGAAAAGGCAAGGGAGTGGCCTGCGGTCAGTGAAAATCCTGTGTCCAGATCAGTAACTTTGGGAATAGAACTCCCTGCTCCAGGGTTACTGCAGGGACTACTCACACTTGCCTATTGGCCAGAACGTATTTATCAAGCTCCTAGTTTTCTTGCCCTGAGGTCCTAACTACAGTTTAAGGCACCCCTATTTAGCTACAACCACTCCCTGCAAAACTCTGCAGAGTTTATGTATTCTTGTTGCAAGAGTTATTATCCTACATGTATTTTCTATTTGTATTTATTCCAGCCAAAAGAGAACCTTTTTCACTTGTCAAGAGATGGAAATTTGTCTTTGAAGGCCAAGAGACACTTTCTTTTTCCTGAGGAGTGGAAAGGGAAAAAAAGAAAGATATCAGGGCTGAGGAGCAGCCAGAGGAAAAAAGAAGACTAAAGATGCTTCTTCTCTTAGCTGCTTTGGCCAGGCTGTAGTTGGTCACTGCACTGTCAGAGGAGCACAAGTAGAAGGATTGTGTCCCAAGGCAGGGACTAGGAGGATGAGTGGACCCAGGGTTCTGAAGAACAAGGGAAGGAAAAGGAACTATGCCTGTACAATCTATAAAAGAATCTGACCCAGGGCTGGAACCATAATACTGGACCTTTAACCTCAACTCCATGGCAGAGCAACTGGACTTACTGTGAGCTCTATAATTCCAGGGGAAAAGGACTAGGTCCAACAGGTGGAAGTCTCAGAGACTCCAATTTCATATGAACAGAGGGAGTTTTCTGATGCACAGTTCTCTAGAGAAGGAAGAAAGTCCCTTGCAAGAAAGTGAAGTCCTGATGACAGGCAAGATTCCATCAGAGGCTCAACAGCCAGCGATGAAAGATGACTTACTCACTGGGAGCAAGGCTGGACTGTCTGAGAGCCTTCTGATGCACATTCCCTGGCTTAAGGAAGGTCCAAGGTGACCAGAGTAGCAAGCTACTACTGCATTCTGAGTCAGCTAAATATGTAGAGAACTGCCCGGGGACTGACTGGAAGCATTTGGGACCAGTCCCAAAGACAGCTATGATACTGGAGAAGCCATGATTCAAGAGCAACTTCCCATTCTGGGAAGAGGGTTTCCAGGGCTGCTCTGGGAGCAAGCCTGGAGGGTCCCCTGGCTCCTCATTCAGATCACCTAGGAACATGAGCAAAGATGCTCACACCTAATTGGGAGTTGAAGTTTAAGAGACCCAGGACCCTTCCCTTGTAACAAGTCCTTGTTAGGGACAAGGACACAAAAACCAATGATCACCATGTCCCTGCTGAATCCACCGTGAAGCCTTTGACGGGAATCTGCGCTTGTCAGAGCTGCTCCTTTAAAATAAATGTTGATGTAGCAGCCATTGTACCAGCTGCTGAAGGGTTCTCGATCCTACACCAACTCTCATCTAGCTGACAGGAGAACACTAGCCTCCACTGCCCATTAGGATGAATTTCACTTCCCACCCAACCAGCTTGAACTGGTTCCAGGTATGGAGCACTCACATGAGCTCCAGTGGCCAAAGTCATCCAGGTGGGTCAGATGACACAAAGACCTTGAAACTGAAGGGTGCGCAGGACAGAGCTAGCTGCAAACTGTTTACCTACCCTCTCCCTGGCTTGGCAAAGTATTTACTTCTTTTCAGAGAAGATTAAGATCTCTTACAAAGTCTTAGTATCATCTGCACATAGTTGTTAAATGTTTAGCATCCATAAGACAGCAGCCATGTTCTACAGCAGTTCTGTGTGATGACTGCATTGCATGTGTATGCATGGATGGCCACCTCTGGTCATCCCTACCACCCTCCTGGGCCTCGGCCTAGCCCTGGCTCCAAAAGGCACACTTACCAGCTAGGGTTGAGATAGTTTCAGTTTCGTTGCTTACTCCCGTAAACTCAAACTGGAAGAGCTTCCAGGAATTATTCTCATTGATTTCAAGCTTGAAATTTTCCCATTTGTAGATCATCTCACTCTCAGGATAGGAAACTGTAAAGCAACAAAGGTCATTTGAGATTAGGAAGGCCAGCGGAGGTCTCCACAGGCATGTGGTCTGAACAATGCCTTGAGACTCCTGAGTCTGGCCTCTCTTCCCTCACTGTTGAAGTCCATTCATTAAGTACAGTTACCAGGCATTCCTCAGGACCAGGCACTGCGCTGGAAATACAGCATTCACATTTCATTGAGTAAGACAGTGAGGATACACCTACAATTACTGGAACTGTTCTGAGGAACCTCTGCCCATGGAACAGTGGGGAAAGAGAGGCGGGAAAGAGCACTTGGGGACACACCCAGAAAAGACTTCACAGAGTAAGGGATCTTCCCAGTAAGTCTTTTAAGTTGATAAGTTGATTAGATTCTCTCTGTCTGGATGAAGCAGAAGTGGTGAGCAGGGTATTCTATGCACAGAAAGGTGAAAATGCCTGATGCATTATGGAAATGCCAGAAGTTCAGGATGGCCAGCTCACAGAAGATGGGTAGGCATGCAGGATGGGCAAGCAGGAGTGTGGAGCAGCGGCCAGTTCATGAAGGGCCTCGAGGGTCATTCTAAGGAATTTGAAATTACTTCATGAGAAGATTTGGAACAATGAAGTGACCTGGTGTAGATGATGTCTCATTTGGCTCACTCTTGTCATTATATGAAATGGCCTCTTGACAGGAGACCAGTTATGGGAGGCCAGTGCAGTAATTCAGGCCTAACAGAATGAAAGAGGGCAGGAGTCAAAGCTGGTGTAGTGAGGATGCAGAGGAACAGGTGGGAACAATAAGGATCCCGGGGGGACACCAGCAGGGTGTGTTGATTAGACATAGGAACTGAAGGAGAAAGAAGCATCAAAGTTCTTGGCTTGGAAAACTGAGTGGGTGATGGTGCCTTTCAACGAGACAGATGGGAGCACAGAAGCAACACGTTTGTTTTGGGGGTAGAGGTTGGAAGGAGAGAACATATGTAGTTTTGGACATGCTCAGTTTCAAAGTGAAGATGTTGCAGAAGTCTGCATGGAAGATGACAAAGACCTAAACCAAGGCAGGGCAGTGAAGGTGGAAGGAACAGATATGTTTCAGAGGCGGGTGACTGACTTGAGATGGGGTGGAAAGCAGACAGGGGAGCCCAACACGAGGTCTCAGTTAAGCAACACAATACTGTTGGCAGGAAAGGAGATGAAGATGGATTGGGAGGCCCTGGGTAACCTTGGCATCTTCTTAGGTGACCAGCAAAGGCAGAAAAATATAAGGACAGGGGCGAGAGAAAGAAGGGCCACAGCATGACTCTGGGGCCCCAGAAACCTAAGAAAGTACTCACAGCTAGAGAAAGACAGAGGGCAAGAGTGGGAATCCATTGGAAATTTGAGCATGTAGAGTGTACATTCAGCATCAATGGTCATCCTGGAAGGGAGAAAGGAGCTTCATTAGGCTGGCCCTCAGCACTTAAGTATCCACCCAGTTTGGACCTGGAAACCACCACTGATGAGTGGCAACAGTGGGATCTGAGACAAAGAGCTCAAAGGAGAGACAAAAAAAAAGAAACACAGGAAGAACAGCTTGGAAGTATCTGGCTACTCTGGCCTGCATCAGCAGAGAATGGACCGACTCAGATGGGCTTCTGTTTCTTACCCATGCCAGCCTCCAGGACCTGTGAGCACTCTCTCTCTCACTTCCCGGCCCCCACAGCACCACATACATCTTCCCCCTGCCACGTACTCAAGTATCCAGCCTGGTCTTAGGTATCTTTCCAGCCACTGTGCTGCTGCTGCACCTGGACAACTCCACCACCGTGGACGTGTATGTATACCCAGTGCCCACTTGGGACGGAATTGTAAAGGCAATGCAGTCATACTGGTACATTCTAGTAGAGGGAACTCTAAACTGGGAGTCAAGTTAACTACGTGCCAATCCCAGTGCTGCCATGAATTTGGTGTGTGGCTGTAAGCAGTATCTTTCTATTTTGAGGCCTAGTGTCTGTCTGTATATGAGGGGGTTGTGCTCATGGTCTAGGAAAACTGGAGGGGCCCTTAGAACTGTCATTCAGGATGAAGGCTGATAAACGCTGTACCCATGACTCTTTGGTGAAAAGTCTCAGAAGGGGAGGAAGAATACCAAGAGGTAAGACTCTAGAGGCTTGACATACCTAATTGTGTACAACACCTTGCCATCCTTGTGGATGCGGACCATCTGGTTGGGAACGGTAATTGAATGCTCTTGGGTCTTCTTAGAATTCCTAAAAAAGGTGTCTGGGATCCATAACTGGCTCACCATGTTGCCATTCAGGACAAAGCTCTCAAAGCTGCCATTGAAACGCAGGCGTTCATCATACCAGGTCTGGTAGAAGGTGATGTCAATGGTGTATTCCTGGTGGGAAGGACAGAGGAGCACACACTAGGGCCCATACAAAGGACATGTCCATGCCACCCTGTGATGGGCCATCCAAGTGGGTGAGAACCCACTTGGGCTTGCACAGAGGAGACTGGGTAGAGTGTGGCTTTAAGAACTTTTTATTTCCAGGTATTTCCAAAAGAAAGGAACATTTCCAAATGGGTAACAGTCTAGGAAAACACATTTCATCTAGGAACAGACAGACAATGCCAACTTAATTGGGTGGGCCGGGCTCATCACATCACCACTCCCCTGCAGGGCTATGGTGCTACTCCAACCAGGTCAGCATCCTCTCAGGCCCCACATTTCCATTGCTTATCAAAGATCTCAGCTCAAAATCACTGTGGACATATATAAACACATGTACCTTTGAGTGTATACAGCAAAGTTTTTTGGGGAGCACAGATGTTAATTAACCTTGATCCTTTATTCTCCAGAATTAAAAATGAAGTGCTTTGAGTCACAAGAGAAATGTGTATTCAGTCTCATGTTTTTAGGAGCATTTCTTACTTTGTTTTTCCTTTTAAACAAGGGCACATAACCTCTGAATGTGTGTGTGTATCTGCATAGATACATCTATAATTCTTTGGTCTCCAGATATTGTCTATCCCATAAACTGTCTGCTAAACATCCAAGAAGGATGTTTACAAGGAAGAATCTGGAAATTTACACCACTGGTATCGAAGGGAGTAAAAAGAGACCACAACAGAACTGTAAGCAGCTTGAACAGCAAGAACCAGAACTAGTCTACGATCGAACACTGAGGGCTAGCTCAACCTCCTTTGCTTCAGAGGTAGAGAGACTGAGGCACAGAGAGAAAGGCACACCAACAGTCAAGAGCCCCACCCTGGCTGCACCGCTCAGAGCGGCACTACCGCGGCCTGGCTCTGAGACAACCTGCACTATCTCCCTCTCCAGTGCTTACTTCACTTGCACCAATGATACCTCTGGGTACCCAAGTCCAGTTCTCCTCTGCAGAACCTCTAGGTCTTTCCTGAGTTATCCTGTCTCAGAGAATGAACATCAACCAGAAATGCATGACCCTGGAGGCCAGTAGAACCCTGAGGGGGAAAGGTCAACACAACCACTGCTTGCCTTTGCTGCCTCGGCCAACAGGTGGAGAGCCACTGTTCAACTGCCGGGACCAGCCTCTCAGACAAAGGATGTTCCCAAAAGTAGTCCAGAGAAGCAGACAGAAAAAAGCTGGCAGAGCCTGGCTGCCACTCACATGGGAACCTCCAGCCCTGCCCCGTCCAACCCCGCCAGCCTTCCCAGGTGGCCTTCAGAGTGTTTCTACAGTCCCAAGTGGCTGGCACTGCAAACTTGACCTGCAGAGCCTCCCCTGCCATGTGAACTGCTTGGTGGCCAGGGAAAGGCTCCCCCACACAACGCACGGGGTGCTCCAGCTTTGTGGTAGTGTTTCAAATGAGCATTTAATTTCTATTTAACAAGATACCAGCTGTAAGTTCATTACACATCAACTGATAACAGTTCAATTTCTCCCGTTTGGCAAGGGAGCTTGGGATGTACATCCCTTTTGGCTCAGGTGAAACTCTAGGAATTTGGTGTCAAGGAACTGACTTTACTAGAATCACTGGCGGTAATTACCACAGCAAAAAGCAGCCTCAGCAACTGTTGATGTTGCAAAGGGCAATCGTTCTCAGACCGGTCACTGCCTTCTAAGCTCAGGATAGGTGCTTCAAAAGTTTAGCCAGGGGACAGGTAGAAACATTTCATTTATATCCACATGCTGTGGGCCCAGGTTTTTCTCCCTGAGGACAAATGCTTGGAGCTATGCAGAAAGCCAGACTTCTCAGGGAAACATAATACCACATGTTTCTGGAATCTTCTAAAGGCACATGGCCCAGGCCAAAGCATCACCTTACTGGCCAAAGAAAATTCAGCTGCTGGCTCCTCTTTGGACCAGTCCTGTGCTGCATATGCCAGGTTCGTCGACTACTAAGTTATTAGACTGCATCCCTCAGCTTGTCAGGCATAGGCACTTCCTGGCACCTCAAGTGAGGCCAGTGCTGCCAACGTTAACAGACACGGAGCCGGAGACAGAGGGCAATCAGCTCCTGTGAGAGGGGCTCTTGCAGGCGATAGACATTGGTTTCCCAAAATTGTATCTCCCACAAATAGCAAGAATGTAGTCACAAACTGTCCACTCCTCTTCAGGCCACTTTCTCCATCTTCACACCAATGACCTGAAAGCTCCATTTTCTATTAAGAGTAAATAGTGGCCATAATGGTGTGACCAGAAGACCTCAACATCTGGCTCTTGCTCAGAACCCAGTGTTTCTGGGTTTATCAATGATTTTAATCAACTTGATTGCTAAAGTCATACTCATTTAGGGGAAAGCACATTGATAACAGCAAAAAGTGAATCTGACATCAAGGGAGGAGGAAAAATAACTTTCAAATGTTGACAGAAACTCAAAAATTTTGTTGGCTTTTATGGTTCTTTTCTTCCATAGTCATGTGTGGCAGGCAGGCTCAAAGATGGCCCCAATGATCTTCACCTCCTGCTCTGGATGCCCTTATGTAATCGCCTCCACTTGACCGTGGCCTGGACCTAATGACTTGCTTCTAATGAACAGAATGCCATAGAAGCAGTGGGATGTCACTTTCCAAATTAGATTACAAAATTTGTGATTTCATCATGAGCAACTTTTCTTGTGCTTTTTCTCACTGAGGGAAGCCAGCTACCATGTTGTGAGCTACCCTGTGGAGAAGCCACATGGCAAGGGCTGTGGGAGGCCCCAGCCAACATCCAGGGAAGAGCTGAATTCTGCCTACATCCACGTAAGAGCTTGGAACTGAGCTGCGTCAGATGTGACCCCAGCTCTGATTGACTCCTTAACTGCAGCCGTGGGAGAGGCCCTGAACAGAGGACCCAGCTAAGTGATGCCTGGATCCCTGACCCAGGCAAGCTGTGAGATAGTGACTATTTGTGGCAGGGAAGATCAGGTAAACAACTGTGATATAAGCTAGAAAGTTCTGAGTGCCAAAGAGAGAAGTGCGGTGTGAATGAGAAGGAAGCAATTAATAGCTGCGAGGTCAAGGAGGATGCCATGGAAGAGATGTCATTTGAAACAGACCCTGAAGGACAAGGTTTATGATAAGTAGAAAATTGGAGCAAGGGCATCCCAAACAGGAAATAGCTTGAACAAAGACTCAGAGGCACAGCATGGTTGAGGAACACCCATACTCTCGTGTGACTAGTGCACATGGTCTTTAAAGGGGACAAAAGAAAGAAAATCAGAGCCCTGGGATGGCTCCCACCACGGAGGGCCTTGGCCACTAGAGTGTGTGGTTGAGCTTTGTGCTTAAAGCAGGGTTGGAATTACAGGAGGCCAGGTCAGAAGGTAGACTGGGGCAGGTAGGGACCCTCAATTTTGCACATTTCAGATGGGAGATAATGCAGGCTAACGGGACAGTACTGACATGAGGATTACAGTAGTGGAAAAGGAGAGGGGGAATGAGGCAGAATTAGAGAACCAGTCTTAGAGTAAGAGTTGGTTACTATAGACTTAAGTCCATTACCAAATCATTATCAGAAGAGAAGAGCCATTCCATTGTGGTGTTTAAAGTACCTTTATTATTTTTACCTTGAATGAAATGCTGTGAGATTTAGTCAGGATTCTGAAGGTCCTCCTCAGGCAGCAAGGGACTTACCTTTTCCAGTCTCCTAAAGTCAGTGTTGGTTAAAAACTCCCCTCCCCCAAATAAACTCTCCCTACAGACAGAGAAGTAAAAACAAGTATGCAAAGGGCCACATCGATCAGCTCCCTGGGTTAGGAGGTAGCTGTAATCAAAGCCCAGTACTCACCATGTCCACGATAGAGATAGGGCCAAGGGTGTTGACAGAGAGCTCGGCAGTGACCACAGTGGGCCTCTCTGTAAAGGAAGCAGAAGTGGAGGAGGTCAGTGCCGAACAGGGCAGTGGGGCAGGGGAAGGTGTGATAAGAGCGGAGACAGGGGAGACAGGTAAGGGTTGGGCTACGTGGCTTCAACATCCCATCCTATTTCTTTTTCTGTTCTTTCACGGCAAGATCCAATTCTAGACTGTTAGGAGTTAGACAGACCTTGAAGGTTAGTCATCTAGTCCAGTCATCTCATTTTATAGTTGGAAAAACTGAGGGGGAGAGAAGGGAAAAATCTAGACCAAGATTGATGGCACTGCTAAGACTAGTTGATGCCTCTTACCTGATAGGTCAGCAACAGACGTTTCTGCGCACATGCACGGCACCCTAACTTACATCCCAGGCTCCTTCTCTACCCGTATGCCCTCAGACCCCCTCCCCTCCAGTGGGGGAAGAACTATGTTCTGCTACTCACCGCCAATGCCAGGCCGCAGTTTGTGGTCATAGTTATTCAGGATACTGTTGAGGATTTGAGTGGCCGTTGGCAGTTTGCCAAGGCTGTTATGGGCACTGATGGCAGGGGGCTTTGTCTCTTCAAATGGCAGCTTCTTCTCGGGAGCCTGGGGCTCAGGGCCATAGATGTCATCATCACGGACAGAGGGTCCCTTTTCTGATTCAACATGAGGTGCTTCGATCCTAGAACATACAAACAAAAAAAAGTGAAGCTCTGCTCCCCATTCTGTAGTGTTCCCAGGGGGCGCCTCCTGATAAAGCAAACCAAAATCAGTCTACAAGCCAAGGCATAGCTAAAGAGCAACTGGTAACAATGAATTAGGATCCGATACAGATTATACTTATTAATTTCTTCTAAATCTTGCTGCTCTTTGGGAACTTTCCATATTATCTCCATTTTATGGTAATTCCTTATTTTAAAAAATCAATAACAACACCGAGCTCAAAATTTTTTTAAATTTCAATGTAAAATGAAGAGGGCATTGGTGTAACATCTCTGGCCAATCAGCTGCCGTTACTAACCTACTCTGCAGTCGGCCTGATCTGCACCACTGGGGAGCAAACGGGCAGGCAGAGGAACAGGACTGCTGAGGAATGTTCTGGAAAGCCAGACCGGTCTGTCCCAGAGAGGGTCGGAACACTGTGGGAATATTCCACCTTTCTCTGCTTTGGGATCATCACTACATTGGTGGTGGAGCCTGGGGCAATGTGGGGAAGCTCTAGGCACTGAGAGAAGGCAAGGGCACCTCACTCAGAGGCTGTCATCTGGGAAACTAGCAGGCCGACAGGATTCCGACCATAGTGCCACAGGCATGCACTGCAGCCAAAAAAAGAAGAAGAAGAAAATAAAATTAAACAAAAAATTAAAAAGCTACCTGCCAGTGTATGAAACTCACCAGTGGTGTTAGAAGTCAGGGTCCTGCTACCTTTGCCAGGAAGCAGTAAGAAAGTGGGTACCAGGGGTCCTGTGAGGTTTGTCATGTGCCAGTCCCTGATGTGGGTGCATTGATAACAGTGACGCCATTTTTTTTGACAACTCATCCACTGAATTGGGCATGTTCCTGCATGTATGTCCTAATTCCATAAAAATGTCTTGAAAAAGAAAAATGCTAATAAAAATCTGCTAATATATAGACTTTATTTGGAGCCTCACTTTAAAACTGTAGAAAACTAAAACAAAACAGAAAATATCTATGACACAATAGAGGAGATCTAAACACACTGGAGAGTTTCCTCAGCACGAAGAAATTATTCTAAAATTTTTGGTGTAAGGGTGGTTATCTTATTATGTTCATAGAGTCCTTATGACTAGAAATGCATACTAAAATACATACGAAATACAATGTCTGAGATTTGCTTTAAAATAATTTAAGTTGAAATGGAGAGTAGGTGAACTGAGTACTGAGAAAATAAGAATGGCCGTGGGTTGTTATTCATGAAGCTGGTGATGGGTACATGGAGATCCCCTCTACTTTTTATATATCTACTTTTATATACCTTTGAAAAAAATATAATTAAAAGCTTTTTAAAAAGCCATCAGCAAAATTAATCTGTGATGTTGAAAGGCAGGGGCATGGTTTCCTTTGGAGAGGAGAGAGTGCTGGGAAGGGCTCACAGTGAGGCTGGGGGTGGGGTGGGGGTGGCTGACGGTGTTCTGGCCCCTGGTCTAGGTGCTGGCTACGTGCTTGCTTGGTGAAAATTCACTGAGCTCTTCACTCTGCACCCTTATATCTGTATATTGCACTTCCAAAATGATTTTTTTTAAAAATCCATCAGGCCACTCTTCCTAAAGCAGGGGGTTAACATGGCAGGAGACATGGCATGGTCTCTGTACTGCAGATCAAAGGACTGCCAATTTAAGCAGCAAAATGCATTTTCCTGCAGTATTTCCAGCTCTCAGAATTGTTTAACTAGCATACAGATGTGCCACGTCCATGCCATTTCTCATGTCTGAAGTGACTAACTCTTATTGTGGGCAAGGCAAGAACAGGGCTTGGGCAAAGCAGTTTCCATTTCCAAATACCGTATCTAGAGATGTTGTCTTGCCCTGAGGCTTTTCCCCCTGTCGTCTGAGTAGATAACGCCAGTCACTGCGGGACAGGGGAGGGAGACCAGGAGCCTGAGATCCTGCAAACTGAGTGACATGGCTGGGAGCCAGGTACGACCAGGACAGGCACTGTCAGCCAAGACCACCCAAGAGCCTGCAGTGGCGCCTCCCAGAGGAGAAGTTTAAAGCCAACAGCAAGAACGCCAAAGTTCAATAGGCAAACAAACAAACAAGCAAGAGCCTGGAACCACGGAAGCCTTCATTCCTAGACTACGTCTCCAATAAAATGATATCAGAGGGCCCTGGGGTTGCTGTGATCCTACAAGTTGCTTTTTCCAGTAACAAACAAACAAAACACCCTCATCCTGGGATCCGTGGGGTTAAGGAGCTGCTGACAATGCATATATCTGCTCTCCTCAGCCAGTCCTTCAGCACACTTGCAGGACTACCACTAAGAAAAACTTGAAAAGCACTCATGTACTGGACTAGTAGGATCTTTCCATGGGGCCTTTTCAGGCACCCACATCCCTCTAGAAGCGTTGGCCCAAGATGGAGCTGATCTTTAACCCCCCGCCTCCTGCCACGGAGGATGCTCATTCAACAGGCTGCAGGGGAAGAAGGGAACATGAGAAGGGCCATTGGATTATTTTTTTCCAAATGAGCCCTTTTTCACCTTACAGATAGAGAAACTGAGGCCCAGATAGAGGAAGGGCTGTGTCCAAAGTCACATATTTGATTCAAGGCTGAGCCTGGACCAAAGCAAGGTTTCCTGGTGCCTTGTGGCCCTTGCCAGCACACCCCACTGCCAGCCCTCCCCACCCCCTCCCTCATGGGCAGCTCTTTCCTGACATCACAGGTTGCCATGTTGACAGTGTCTGAACACCAGTTACTGCAGCCCTTCCCCCAGCTGGAAGAGTGGTTTCTATCTCAACAGCCCCTCTTCCTGCTCTTTTCCCCTCTGCCACCCCAGTTCCTTCTGCCTCCTTACCCCACCATTTTGCCATGGCCAGTCACCATGTCAGCTCACTCAACCAATCCAATTTACATCTAGAGGGATATGGATACCTAGAAATTCCTAGCACACATTCAGAAATGTTTACCAAGCCTCTGCTGAGGCCAGCCCCCCTTTAGGGCACCAGGGATCTGAGGAGCTAAGGCATTTTCTGGGCTGGGAAGAGAAGCTATCTCCCCTCTCCCCAAACAGATGAGCAAGACACAAGCCCCGTGCCATGGAGACTTTGAGAATGCTGGACAGATCAGAAAGCTTGGGAACTTGTGACAGTTCGCTCCCAGTGGGAAACCGTCCCAAAAATACGAAGCAGTCATATTCCATCCCCAAAAGCCAGAACTGCAGGGGGCAACCTTCCCAGCAGAGTCCCAGGGGCAGAGGAAGGCGCGAGTGGAGCTGGCTGCTGAAGGGGAAACGTGCTGCTAGCCTTAGGAAAAGGAAGGAGGGGCACAGAAGGAAGCTAGCGACACAGGGGGCGGGGTGGGGAGCTGCGGCGGGAACCCTCGGAAGACCCAGGGCCCGCGCCTGGGACCGGCACCAGGAGGAGCGGCGGGAAGGGGAAAAAGTAAAGTCGGAGTTGGGCGGCACAGTGCCTGGTACCCAGTAGGCGCTCGGAAAAAAACCCCAAGAAGAACCAAAGAACTGACTAGCCAGCATTCAAACATTCTAGGCGCAGTTTCACTCCCCCAGCCCGCCTTTCTGGGCGCCACCTCCCCAAAGCCCCTCGCCAGTCGCCCCCAAAGCGCGAGCCGGCTCTGGCCGGTCACCCCGCGGAGGCTTCTTGTTCCCACGAGAGACTCAGAGAAGGAGAGGCGTGCTCGCTCCCCGGCCGGCCCGCGGGGTCGGTTACAGTGGGATCAGGGGGCCGGGGGCGGGGGGCCAGGCGTCCGGCCCACCTTCCCGGGCGCCCGTCCGAGAGGGAGCGGGACGGAAGCCGGCCGCGGGTGGACGGCACTCGGGACCCGGCTGCCCGCGCGGGGGCCGGGAGAGGGGCGCCGAGGGCGTCCGGGTCCCGGGATGGGGACTCACCTCCACGGGAAGATGGCAGACGTGCCCAGCAGGGCCAGGAGAACTTTGACCAACATCGCCGCGGGGACCGGCGCGACCACCCGCGAGGAGGTCGCCGCTCACGGTCTGGCCGCCCGGAGCACCGCGTGGAGGGTTTTGTTGGGCTCCAACTTTTACCCCGCCCACTCTCCCCGCCCCGCCCCGCGCCCCCACCCTGGCCCCGCCCCCGAGCCCCGATGGACATCGACGACGTGTTCGCCGCTGAGGTAGAGGCGGGGGCAGGCGCGGGCGGGAGTACGGGGTGCGCAGGGTGGGGTGTCGGGAGGAGGGAGAGGAGGACGGGGCCCGGTCACCGCAGCCCTCTGCCTTCCGCCACCACCGGTTGCGGCGCTGCCAGACAGCCAGGGGCGGGGGAGGAGGGGAGGTAGGAGGAGGCGAGCCGGCGAGGGGCGGCCCCAGGCGGGGAAAACCAGAGGCCGGCTGCTGTGGCGGGAGGGTGCCACAGACTGGGCCAGGCGGGGGAAAGGTGGGGGCCTGGGTGGACTTGGGCCTCCTCTGAGACCCCCTCCAGCCCTCGGCTCCCCACCGGCACCTGTTGCACACCATCGCTTGGCCTCTTAGATCTCCCCACCCACTCCACACCTACAGCCCTTCAGAGCAAATCTCTTGGCATCCTAAGGAAGCTAGGTGACTTAGCACCTCCCTTGGCACAGGGGAAGAAGGGAGACTTGTGGGTCTCCCCAGCAAGCTCTGATCTGTGCCGCTACACAGGTCAGTTTCCCTGGTATCTGGGGACAGAGGAAGACCACCCTCCCCAAGAGAGGACCAGATGGAGGCATTCACCGGAGGACTTTCTCCAAACCCCAGGGAGGCACTGACACAATGTGGCTCCTGGTTCAGGCCTGGGACCTGGGTGTGAGGGGGACCACCTGGGGTGGACGGACCTTGGAAATTCCCTCTCCAGGACTGACTGGCCAAATCCTTCTGGAGACTTGGCTTGGGGTGACGCCAGAAGGAGAAGTGAGAAAGCACCTGGGATAGGGGTCAGTGCCCCCACTCAGAGGGGACATCTCAGGAGACGCAAGCATCTTTGAACTTCAGCTTTCTTGCCTGGACCCTCATGCTTCACTTCAGAGAAACGCTGGCAGAGATTTGCCTCTGAAGCTGATGCCAGACGTGAGCAGCGTCCTCACCTGTCACACTCCAAGGGCTCCTTGGAGAGACTTTGCTGTCCCAAGCTGATCTAGTGACAACCTCTCCCACCACCCTCCCCAGTCTTATCACTCTGCTTTGTTATCTTTACAACACTGCTCACCAAGTGATGATTTTGGGGGGGCATTTCTTTGTGAGTATGCTTATGGTGGGTTCCCCCACTGGAATAAGCTCAGTACCCAAAATCAAACCAAACCAAACCAAACCAAGCACAGCACATGTCTGTCTGGTTTTCCACCATATCCCTGAGACTTAGACGAGTCGTGAGCACACAGTGGGCACTCAACAAATATTTATGCCTGGCCTGTGTGCAACTGTGTGTGTCCTAGTGCCACAGAGTTCACTGGGACCTGGGCTCCCTTCAGACTCTGTGCAAGACCGAGGAGACTGCAGGAAACATCCAGGCCTTCTAGGTTTGTGCTTCTGAGCCCTGCGGCAGGGCAGCCTCAGGACGCGAGTGGCCTGGGTAGTTCCAGGAGCTCTGTGCACAGAAAGGCCCCATGCTCTGTTCAATGCTTTGCTGTTGCCTTCCGGCAACTCCTGATACATTTTGAATAAGTGGCCCTTCATTTTTATTTTTCTCTGACTTCTGCAAGTTACATAGCCACTCTTGTCCTAAGGAGACAGGCTGCAGAGCAGGAAACAGGCAAACACAGAGCATTCTTCGGCTTCCTACAAAGAGAAAGCCGCCATCTGCCTGCTTTCTGTCCAGCTGCAGAGAGGGGCGATTCTGCACTTACTGCAGCCAGCTTTGGACTTGAAGTGTCATATACGGATGTCTCTTCCTTCACTGACAGTGCAGCTCCAAGAGACGGAGGGTTACCCGATTTTCCTGGGTGTCCCTGGGTGGAGTGCGGTGCCCAATGACCCACATTAGTTATATTTGGTGAGTGACTGACTCCCAGGCAGCCAAAAGAGGCAAATGGTTACAGTTTCCTCATTAGAGGACCCACCCAAGGCACCTTTCTCTGAAAGGTTGAGAGTAATCACACCTCACCCTGTACCCTATAAACCTCGTCCATACGAAGGCTGCAAGCATCTGTGGCAACTCCTGGGCCTTACAAAAGGCAGGGCCTTATTACTGGGTTATAGTTCTTCAAGCATTTCTTACATGCTTCTCTATGCCAGGCCCTGGGCTTGGTGATGGAGGGTTATCCAGCAAAACTTTGGACATGGTCTTGGCTGTCACATAAGTGGTTCAAGAGGGGTGAGGGGGCTTCTCTTGGAAATGACCAGTGCAGGATAGAAAGTCATGGCTGCCCTTGAGCTCCAAGGAAGACAGGCTTCCCTCGGGCTGGGCTGTCCTGGAAGCTGATGCCGGCGGGAGGATCCTGCAGCTCACATGGACCTGAACCTTGCAGCAACAGACGAGTCTTACTGGGCAAAGTGCAGAGATGGGCATTCTCAGCAGAGAGCCAGCTGAGATGTTGAAATCAGACGTGTGTGGTGCTTGCTAGAGGGCAAGGAGGAATTTGCCAGGAGCGTTTGTGTGAAGAGGGATTGTGAGAGAGAAAGCTGCAGTGGGAGCCGGACAGGCTGGCACTGGGCTTTGAAAGAACCTGCACTTTATCTTGTCTGCAAAGGGGAAGCTACGGAGGAGCTGTGAATAGGGACGTTGCATGTCATAACTGTTCTTCAAGGAGATCCATCTGGTGGGGGCAGACAAGAGTGCCTACAGGAAGGACAGACCGGAGCCTCTTTTTTCCTGGAAAAGTAGTTGTACAGATGGCAAGGAGAGCAGGGCCTTGGGGATGGTCAGGAGGGAGGGGGCAGCATGGGGAGGTTTACTTGACCCAACTGATAGCTCATTAGAAGGATGCAAGAGGAGACGAGAGAGAGGGTTGCTGGAGACGACACATGGTCCGCTCCAGGTGGCCACGGTGGCGGAACAGAAACAGGGAAGGCGCGAGGGGTGGGAAGAGCCTTCAGTTACAACAATGAGGAATCCTTTGCATTTTACATTTAATTTTCTAATGTTCCAAGGACCTTCACATTTATTGTCTAGAAGTGTGTGTGTGTGTGTGTGTGTGTGTGTATGTGTGTGCGCGCGTGCATGCGCATGCTACTCATTGATCCCAATAGCTGTGGGCAACCTTTTGTCAGTTGTGAATGGTCACATTTAATAGTCAGCATCAAACTACCATGTGCCCTGCAAAACATGTGGTTTAGGGGTAAAACCAGAGCTGCTGGTCATAAAGTCTGTGTGTTCTTGTCCTAGCTTGGCCCAAACTGTAACACATGCACAGCATGCTTTTCCCATTAGGCCAAGGGAAAAACACTAGCCCAGACAAGTTGTGCAAGACTCAGCTTGTTAAATATCTGGGTTTGTGGCAAAACCAAGATGCCTGGAGCAGAGGAGGAGGCAAGCTGCAGAAAGAATTGTCTATAGAGCTAAGCCAGGAACTGAAAGGGATGAAGGGCTGAGCAGGAGACAGCCAGGCTCAGAGCAGACAGACAGACAGACAGTGGAGGCAGAGGCAGTACAGGGCAGTGATTTGGCCTCTGTGCTCCACTACAGGCTGGGTGGGGTTTGAATAACTAGATGCTAGTTACATGGCCATGTGCAAGGTACTTAAAGCCCCCTGAGCCTCCTGCTTCTCATGTGTAGAATGGGAGTTACAATGCTTTCCACGTCGCATGGCATTTGTGACAATTCAGTGGCATAAACCATGTAAAGCATTTGCACAGTGTCAGCACATAGCCAGTATGCAACAAGACTTATGTGGTAATCTCACCACCACCATTATTAGCTACCAGCTGATAAGTCGGAGTGTAGGCACACACCTGAACAGCACCTAGGAAGTTTCTAATCAGGGAGCAAAAGCCGGACCCCAGATACACACTGAAGAGCAAGGCTCCTTCCTGTCCCAGAGAGGTGGAAATGCAGTGGGGAAAACTGGACTCTAGCCCTCGGAGAACTGGACCACTGAGTGAGCACCCCAGGCTGGTGGCACTCAGGTCCACTCTACAAGGGAGAAGTGAGCCGTGGCTGGGGATTGAGAGTCACGAGCACCTGGATGCTAGTCAAAGCCATGGAACAGGATGTGATCACTCAGGGGGAAAGAAAAGGGTGCAAGCCGGAGTCCAGAGAAGGCTGCTGCAGCAGCCAACAAAAGAGAGGGGCTTTTCTATTACGATGGTAGGTTCAACGATATTGTAGTAAGACAAGGATTGAATAGCACCCATTGGGTTTCTCAACAGCGCTGTCCAAATGGGAGAGGGACCCTTAGTGCAGGCTTCCTGTCTGGTTCTCCTTTGGGTCCCTAGGGCCCGGTTCAAGGCCTTGGAGAGGAACAGAAAGAGATTCAAGGAAGGAGCTAACAATGGTGTCAAATGCTTCTGAGCAGCGGTTGACAATGACAGGGTCTAGAAAGTGTCTTCTGTGAGAGGCAAGTGTGTGAGATGAGTCAGGAAACAGAGAACTTCTCAAGAAATTTGCCATTAAAGACAGTGCAATAGCTAAAGGGAAGCAAATATTTGATACGTTTTTATTTTTGTGCTCTAAAGATGAATGAGACAAACACGTTTATAGGCTAACAGGAAGAAGAGGATGAAACTACAGAGGATGGGGAGGTGGGTGTCCTTAAGGAGGTAGGTAGGCATGGCCAGGATCTGGTGTGCAGAGTGGTGGGTGGAAGATGAATGCCTCTTCCTCAGAGGAGGGAGGGAGGGAAGGCAGGGAGAGGAGAGAGACAGGCACATTCATTCAGGCAACCAACATTTATCACTAGGCACTATGCTCTTGCTAAAGAAAGGAGAAAAGCAAAATTCTTACTTTTGTGGGATGTACCTTCCAGAGGTAGGAGGCTGACCATTAAAAAATACATTTAATAGGCAAATTTATTGCATTATAAAAGGTAATAAATGGTTCGGAGTAAAATAACAAGCAGAGTAAGGCAAGTAGGATTGGAAGTACCGGGGAGAGTGGATGGGCGG